GTCTTGCAATGAGCACCCATACATCTAGTTTTCACTGGAAATCCTATATATGAGTGCTCATTGCAAGACAGCCTATATTACATGATATAAGGGGTATAAGAGGTATAGTATAGTATAGTATAGTATATCTTTTGAATATACATGCGTAGTTCAATGCTGGTTTATCCCACAACAATTACCACGCCCCCAGGTTTGTTTTGGTTGTCAAAAGGATCGTCAATATGATAATAACACTGACAGAATTGATATGGGAATTGTTTAAAAGAGCCGTTCCATTGGCCTTTGATAACACAATTTAATTTTGTAATTTACTTTATTTCACGTAAAATAATTCTCCGACACTTCGGCCATCTGTTGTATTTCTCCATGATTGTTTACTAAAGAAAACATTGATCAAAATACTCTCGCACAAATCGGGTTTAGTTTAAACTATATACTGAAGGTAGTATACTTTTTACACTAAACTACGTGTAAACCTCGCGAATGACAAAAATTATATTATTGTAAACTATCGATGACTAGGGCTTAGATCTAATTTTGGGCCTACTAAGCACAAACCGCCCTTTGCCTCTATTTTTCGAGTGGATTTTTTTTTCACAAAACAGAATGTTTCCACTTAAGTTCATTTTACTTAATTTTGGGTAATTTTGAATTTTGCATCTCACTCTCACTTATTGTCGTCAAAAACGGAACGAGAGATTCGATTTTCTCATGACTATCGTTTAATAAGCTACTAGTTAGTATATGAAATATTCTCAAATTTGAGTCAATTGAACGTAATTTTGGGTAGAATGCTCACGAGTAAGTAATTATTTTTGCCGTTGTCAAATGTAAACTACTGATCGCGCACGGGCGGGATCCCTACGTTGTGTTACGGATATAAAATAAAACAACACCGATTGCTTTGCCGTCCTGCCATGGCAGAGGCAGTTGATACGGTTGATATATATTTATTAGAGTGATGCAAAATTTGAAATTTTCGCTCCACAATACTAAAACGATTCCAAATCGGATCCTGACTAACCTCTCAAATTTTGAACCCATTTGATGAAAAACTGAGATGGCACAAACCATTTGAAGTTTGTATGGGAATTACTATGGTAAAACCAAGATTTTTGTTCATGTCTATCTAATAATTCACGATATCGATCTGCTTCAAAAGCTTTCAACTGTACTTGTAGGAAATTTTTCCAGCTACAACTTTGCTCAAGACCACTTTTTGATTAAATGCAATGATCGAAAGTTATCAATGGCTCAATGCGCTGATGTCTTATGATCATGCTCAATCAACTGCTCAGCAGGCAACATTGGTGTTTCTGGGGCGTTGAATAGGACACAAAAATCATGGCTACTATGTCACACTGCAAAATACAGTGTTGCCTACAGAGCAGCTGCTTGATCATGTCATAAGTTTACCAATCTCTTAAATAATTAATAACTTTTTCCTGTCTCGTTTTACATAGAAACGATCTTGAGCAAAGTTGTAGCTGAGAAAATTTTCTATAAGAATGGCTATCGAACTGTTTCGCAGTTCAACAAGGAAAAAGACTAGAAGGCAATGAACAAAAAGTTGAGATTTCCCATAGAAATTTACATGTAAACTTCAAATGGCTTGTGCGAAGTCTGTTTCTAACCAAATGAGTTGTAAATTTGGGAGACTAATCAGGACCCAATTTGAAACCATTTAAGAACTGTGGAGCGAAAAAGTCAAATTTTGCATCAGTCTAATATTTATTGTTATCATCGGTATCATTTGTATCTGCTTGTGTTAATTTGTGTATCGCCGGTAGGGTAGGTGTACATATATACGACGTATTGTACAAACAACTACTATAAGCGGTTTACCGAAAATAAGCTTATTGAAAGCAACATGGGAGATGAGGGAAAAGAACTTAATTTTGGGTAATTTTTCGGTTCCGTGTATGTTCATCTTAGTGACCGGTTGCTAGTGCAGTTGTTAGTTGTTGTATCTCACAGAAATGTGTCGGTGATGTGTACGTAAGTTCTAAGCCAAGTTTACAAATGAACAAAGTCGATCGGATTCATGTCGAGGTGGTTGCCCAACCAGCGAATTTCAACTGTACACCCCGTCTCCTTAGTTTAGTGCATGTCGTATTACCATAGAGGTAACTCTAAGATCAGAAGGTCCCGGTTCAGCTCTGGTACTCTCTTCGGCCCCAAGCTTATCGATACACCCCTCGAAACATAGGAAAATTCACGAACCCCTCATTTTATCAGCCAAACTTTCATAGCGAGTCAAAACAAACATAGTGTAGTACTAGAATTTCGACTAAAATGGGGTACGTTAATCGATTTGCTTGGGACCAATAGGCTATTCAAGTAGTGAGCCAATTCAAAATCGTTAGTTTCCACTGGTTGGTATTACTCCATCACTGTTGAGAAATGATTTTTTTTCCTTTGGTTTGTTTTTTCCGTCGATCTTGTTTTCCGAGCTGAGCACCAATGCTACCGACGTGCCAGGAAGGCAGCTCCCAAACCTGGACCCTACCTATCGACCCATCAACTCATGAACCGGGGACCAACGGCTTTACTTCCCATCCGAAGGAAGGCGTGATCAGAGATGTTATGCCTCAGAACATCCCGGCGGCGCCGACTGGTATTGAACCCAGGCCTGCTGGGGTGAGAGGTAATCACGCTTACCACTACACCACCGGCGCCGTTTGTTGAGAAATGATGAAGCATTCGGTTTTGATGAAATGATGAAGCATCCGACTCTAATTGATCACTTTAGATGCTCAAGCTTTGAACCCACCATTGCATGCTTTTGGCACTACTGTACATGGATAATCATATGTAAAATACTGTGGTAGCCACAGCATAGTTCTGTCAAAACCTCAGCATTTTCATTGATCCATTGTAAGTTCCCGCTATTTATACACTTCGGAGTGCTGGAACAACCTCCAAAGGCGCCCCTTTGTCAGTCAAAACCGGATTCCTTTGCAACAAAACACCGATAATGTCCATGCATCAGGATCCTAGCCTTAACTGCTTCAAACTAAAGAACGGCGAATAAAAGATCATTCTCGGTGAGCTCAGCCGAGCGCTATTAATAAGGCATACAAAGTAAAATGGACTAAGATTTGTTCCATTGATTACTGAAAAATCCTGTTCCCCTAGTTTGAAGTAGTCAGGACTAGGAATCGTTGGTAGATCTTATATCCCGTAACGTACCACGAAAAGGTGATCTACCCACGTTACGGGGGAAGACAATCAATCCGGGTACGTCTCCACGTTTTCGTTTCTCCTCGTCTTCCGGATAAGGAGAGTGATTGGGGTCAGCTTGTACCGGTCTTTGATTTCGGCTTCGATCATCTTGGGGTCGAAGATCGGTAGGCCCTTGAAGACTATGTACCTTCAAGGGCTTCTCATCGGGGATGTCATGCGTGAAGTCCGGCTTTTTCTTTCTCTTCTATGTCCGCTTCCGGTATTCCCAACATCGGTGGAAAAAGTAGCACACCCATTCGAAATAGGTACACTCCGTCTACCCTCACCATTGTTCTTGTTCTACGCCTTCTCTCGGAGCCTGTTCCAGGAGCACTGCCTTCCCATCACACGATGCGACCGACACTACTGACGATGCAAACAAACGTGCAGTAAGCCTGCGAACGTTTGGAAAACAATCTATAAACTTTTCGAACAACTCGATCGAGCGAGTAAAAACTGAACTGAACTGCTTGACGGTCAAGCAGAGAGCGAAGATGATCGGTCAACGAGCTTAAGTATCTCATATTTATACCTGCTAGCCTATCAAAATTCCCGAACCATTGAGATTCCGTTTACTTACGGTCTTACTTACCTTAACCTTACCAATCAGGCTAAGGCATTGATGTCCTCTACTGTCCGAAGAAGTTGTCTCCACTCTACTCGATCCATGGCCACACGTCGGCAGCCTCTTAGTCTACGAAGCGTCCGCAGGTCGCCTTCTACTTGGTCGACCCACCTTGCCCGCTGCGCGCCTCTTCTTTTTGCTCATGTTGGGTCGCTTTCGAGAACCATTTTCACTGGGTCCTCGTCCGGCATTCTTACGACGTGCCCAGCCCACCGTAGACACCCAATTTTTGCAAAGTGGACGATGGATGGTTCTCCCAGAAGGTGGTGCAATTCGTGGTTCATTCGCTTCCTCCACGTTCCGTCATCCATCCGCACTCCACCGTAGATGGCACGCAACTCCTTCCGCACGTTGGTCCTTCACGAGCATAGTCCAGGTCTCGTGGCCATAGAGGACCACCGGTCTAATCAGCGTCTCAACTTCGTGCGGCGGTGAATTTTATTCGTAGTCCAAAGTAGGCACAATTCCTTGCCATAATGCGTCTTTGAATTTCTCTGATGGTATCATTTTCGGCGACCATCAGTGAGCTCAAATACACGAACCCGTCGACCACCTCAATTTCGTCACCGTCAATCTTAACTCGGGGTGGCAGGCTAACATTGTCTTCGCTATAACTTGTTCCTTTCATGCATTTCGTCTTCGATGCGTTGATGGTAAGTTCAATCCGCCTCTGATGTACGTTTCCGCCATCGTCTCAAAGTTCCGTGCCATGATGTCGATGTCATCGAAGAAGCCAAGAAGCTGGATGGATGGACTTCCTGAAGATCGTGCCACTCGTGTCTATCCCAGCTCTTCTGATCACACCTTCTAACGCGATGTTGAATAGCAGACACAAAAGGTTGAATTTCGGATCAATGACAAAGTACCTAGGTTAATTCTCATTTAAAAAAAAAGAAAAACAATTTATTTCTCGTTCTCTCTATCTCTCTCTCTCTTTCGCTCGCTCGCTCGCTCTCTCTCGTTCTTTCTCTTTGTATTGTTCTTCACCCTCTTTTCATCAAACTAACTACATCGCGCAATCTTCCACCCATATCTGGTATCTTCTCTTCTTCTGTTTTGTTCATATAAATACAAATCAATCGCCGCGTCCTCTGCTGCCCATTTTATTTTTTTTTAATTTTATTTTGACTGTTTTTGTTCGCTTTGTTGCTGCGGCTTCCGTTCAGAAAACAATTTGTATTGTTGTTTCGTAAAAATTATTGCATCACGGTTAAACTTTGTATCTCGAGATAGCTATAACGACATTTACAAGAGTTTCTTGAATATATAAGAGTTTTTGTTGTTTTACAATTTTCGACTATTAGGAATGGAAAGGAAATCATACTTTTTTGTTTGTTTGTTTTTTTGTTTAAGGCAAAACAACGCTCTTGGGGGGTACGGGGGAGAAAGTGATTTTTCGAGCTGTCACTACAAAAATGACAAAACATTTTGTTCAGGAATAATGATCTCGTTTGAGTGTTTGTGGACATGTATTTTAGTCTTGAATGAATGTAAGTTTGTATGGAAAATGTCATCCAACTTCAGTTCAGTTGCGCGAAAGGTACATCTGGATATCAATCTTTGCTTTCTTTGTTTCAGTTTTTTGTTTCGTTTTTCTTTTTATCAGGAATTGGATAAACACGTGTAGAGGGAAATTAACGAACCTAAAAATCACGGATAGCATATATCAGTTAACAGGAATTATAAGAACACATTACAACAAACGGCTTGCTATATGCTCACTTAGATTACTAATATAGGGCTCACAATAAAGCTCTGAATGCTTGAAACAGGGAATTTCAACGTTTTTCATCTTTTTTTTTTGTAGGAAATAGTAGCATTATGTGCGTGTGTGTTAGAGAAAACGAATGCTTTTTGGAGGTTAGAAAACTAGATTTGTGTATATATTTCGACATGCATTTATCGGCCAATAAAAATTAGCAACAAACTGTTTCATGATACGTTTCATCCAAATATAGTACTGCCATCTATGTGTCGCTTTTTTTCTGGCACGTAGATGGCCTCACTAATTTTAGCACGAAATATAACATTAACAGCATTTGCTCAATTATTCCTGCAATTTACGTCTATGTTAGCTTTGGAGTGTAACAAAACTGTTGATCGACATCTATTTAGGAAATCAAATACGTATAGAAACTATTATTTGCTACGTATAAAAAATATCTGAGTCGGCTCGACCTGGTTTAGCATAAAGCTACTTGGAGTAAACGAAATTTACCCCAGTTTGCATTATGCCAAATGGCGCACAGTTTCTTTAAAAAAAAAACGTTACTCGGTTGGCATGATGAAATAGTTTCGGAATGAAAAAGTGCCACATGGGCCCACCTTATGCCAGCGCATAGTTTCCTGTCCCGGTTTTCTGAATCATTGTAAACATTCTGACCTCAAAAAATAAATGCAATGGGTGATCCTTTTTTTTCACAGTATTTATAGTGTCTTAAGATGACTGTTTTATTTTTTGTATTGCTGTTGATGCTAGTGAAAGTGAAACATTTGTTTCTGTTCAGTTAGGAATTTTTATGTATATTGTTTGTGGAGGTGGTTCGTTTGGTATAAAACCTATTGATATAATCTTTCGTTTCGAGACAATTGCATGACAGCGCCCGGCAGCTTTATATCAAAATGTATTATACCAAACGATGTTTGCATGTTTTATTCTGATCAAATTTGTCAGCTTGTTTATCAACGTAGAGAGAAATGTCTACATTAAACCATATAAAATATACTTTTCTTTTTGGTTAGTTTGTTCTGCCATTTGCTGTGTGTTTGTAAATTTATGTGTTTCATCTTTATCTACGTAATCTGTTTGTAGTTTGCTTGATTTTACCTCAAGAAAAGACATAGTAAAATAGTAGATCTGTGACTATTTTCTGTTTGTTGCTTTCTACATATGCATTGGATCCAAATGTTTAATTTTATTAGCTTTCAGTACGGATTTTCTATTTGTTTTGCTGCAGAAGGAACAGAAAATACAATGTTCACATCAAACCATTTAATTTAAAAAAAATGAACTCCGAAGTCAAGTCCAAATAGAACAAATACATAATCAAAATCAAAAAACAACCAAAAGAACACCTAGATCTACCGAATGAAAGGCCGATTAAAATCAATGTTCATACTTAACTGGTAGTGTGTTAAAAACAAAGAGACTATCATACTGTTCCTGCGGTTCGGATAGCAACGATCAACCGTCACCAACCGAACAAAAATTTTAAACTCTACAATCTTACCACATTTGTGAAATGGTTCCAACTTTAGTTTTGTTTATATATATATATATATACTTGATTAATTGTCACCTAACTCGTTCTATCAACTGCACGCTACTTGGCTTACCTCAGTATTAGAATTCAATTTTACATATCTTCAATTTCTATATAAAGAGATATATTTAATATATCTAAACTTCAGTAAGAACGTTTTATTCTTCTGTACACACACGCCGCACGACCCGGTGTTTCTTTTTACTTTTGCTCTGTTCCCAGTTGCCATTTCTCCATCATCTTGTAATCAAACTTGTTCTGTTTACTTTGACTACTTCTGATTTTGCTGTTGCTAAAAATATTACAATGTTTTCTTCCTACGAACCGTACGTACCTACCGCATGCATTAGAGGCGCAGGACCTAATAGCTGGCCTCGTGGCCGGCCACCAAGTACAGGTCGTGGCCCTCCTCGCTGGAGCTCTCCATCGATTCCACCGGCCGCAGAATGCGTCCCTGCAGCATCACAATCCGGCTGTTGGGAGTAGAAAGGTATGGAAATGAATTAGGTTAAAAATCATATGAAATATGTTAAACAACTGGATCCAAAGCACGACAGAATTATTGACGTAGGACGCCGAGATTGTTCTTGTTGCTCAATTCAATAATACCCATAAAATTTGTATAAACAATGCCGGGATTGGGCACCCGATTGAAGCGATTTGGACGGGGAGAGTGGGAATGGCAACTCCTTGTTGATAACATTTCGTGGATAATGGGCGGGCTCTTCTCCCCACTCATTGGGGCATCTTCCTATTTGAGGGCTTGTCTTTTTGAACAATTGTGTGATCATGATGCTGGAAGGAAATTCTTTACTGTCCCGTACATACGTATAGGCGACTTTGCCTATCGATCCATTTTCGGCCTTTCATACAGCGACATGTTGAGGACAATCAGAGGTCATTAAGGTGAAAGTGAATCGGTTCAGAATGACTTACTTCATCAATTTTCTACAAAATAACGCAACGCTCAATCGAAAAAAAAAATATTCCGTGCCTCTAATAGTAAACATATTTCTAAATTGAGAGTATTTCTAAGTCGTGTTGGAAACGCGTGTATTTGTGAAAAAAATTAAAACAATTCAAGTGTGTGTGTGTGTGTAAGCTAATTGAAGGATACGCTGTGAAGTTTCAGACTATTTGATGGAGGTTTTCTGATATATCTGGATAATTTTAAAAATAAAAGGTCACTAGCGTACACAGGAATCTTGTTAAAGAGGGGCAATTTTTTCTTCTATGGTGCATTTAGTCTGGGGATAGGGAGTACTCCAAAGTGCGTGGTGGATGGTGCTGTCCACCCACCACTGTTTCCCTACTGTTAAATTTAGCTAATTTTATCTATTTTTGCTCCGCTGGTGGTTCATCTTCTTCAATGCAAACTGCTCTCAGACAGCCAATGGAATTGACAATTTACTCTCCAGAAATGCTTTGGAACTGTCCTCAGAATTCAATATGCATGAGGTTCTTCTTAGATTTTTATAGAACACTTTAAGAGCTCTTTTGAAATTCATTTCAGAAGTCCACTGGAATTATACTTAGAACACCTTGAAACAAAAATTCCTTTAAAGTTTCAGAAATTTTTCCCGGAATGAGCTAGAAATTATCCTCAAAATTCCCTTTGGAATTTTACTCAAAATTTGATTTTCTCGGTATTATTTTCGAAATTATCTTGAAACTATCTGCAGGATTCACTAGAAATTATTCGCAGAATTTTCATGGAATCATCCCCAGAAATATTTTCTTTTGAAACTGTCCTCAGAATTCAATGCCCGTTGTAGTTTTTCTACCAGAAATGTTCAATTCAGCTTGTTCCTTCATGGAGCAGATTGTTGCAAATCTTACACCAGAAATTTTCAATACAAACTTGCCCCTAGGTAATTTTGCACTGAAAATTTAAGCTGACCAGAACGATGCAAATTTTCCACCGTTAATGTTCAATAAAAATTGCTTCTCCAATATTCTGATTGGTGCAGATTTCCTTTTCCATTTTCCACCAGAAATTTTCAATATAGTTGGCTTCTCCTATCATCAGAATGTTGCAGGTTTTTCACCAAATAAAGCTTGCACCTATTTTCATATTTTTCGTCATATAGCAACTTCCTTCAAATCATCAAAATGGTGCAAATTTTACACCATACGTTATTTTAAAAAAAATTTCGCTATTCAGCAGAAGGATGTAAATTTAAGACCAAAATTTTTCCGTAAAGCTTGCCCATCTGTTCACCATAACGGTGCAGATTTTCCACCAGAAATTTTCAATATGGCTTAATTTTAAATAAAGCTTGTACCTTCATTTACCAGACCAGTGCAAGTTTTCCACCAGAAATTTTCAATAAAGCATGCTCCTCCCTTCACCAGAACGGTGCACCAAAAATTGTCAGTGAAGTTTGTTTCACCATGCACCTTCAGGCTCTGCCTCTTTAGCACCAGAATGGTGCAATTTTTCCACCATACATTTTCAATGAAGCTTGCATTCATCAGAATGATGCAAATTATGCACCAGAAAAATGAATAAATCTTGCTATTACATTCACCACAGTGTTGCGAACTTTCCACCAGAAATTTTCAGATAAATGTGCACCTCCAAATTTTTAGCGTGATTCAATTTTTCCACCGAGTTATTCATTTTGATTAGTCCCTCCATGCACCACCTTGATGATATTTTTACACCAGAAATATTCAATAAGAAAACTTTTTCATTGATTTACCACCACGAAGGTAATTTTTTTTAACCTTAAATTTACCCTCTTCTTTTAACCCTCCATGAACACCCTTGAAAAAACATTACACCAGACATTTTTTGACCAAAAAAGTTCATTGAGGTTTGTCTCTTCATGCACCTTTGTGGCGCGATTTTCAGGCACCATCTCAAAGGATTTGACGCAATAAATGGTTTTCAGAGCCCTTATATTATGAAATAAAGTTATTTTACCTTCAAATCAAGTTCAAGAAACCAAGTTATTTTATATTATTTTTGTAAATGTGGAAATAAAAATCTGATTTATAAAAGGGGGGGAATTGTCCCCACCTTGCCCCACCCTGTGCACGCCAGAGTAAATGGAACCTATTTTAGAAATCACCCACCTTTGCCATTGCTAAATGAAATATTTTTCAAATCAAAAAGTTCCTCAATTTTCACATTTTGTTTCACAAGTATTTGACGATATTCTGCTAAAATTTTAGCCTATTTGATGAAGGCATTGTGTTATATTTTGGTATTTTTAAAGATAATTAGATAAATTTAACTATATCTTCAAATATTGTAGAAATCATCCACCTTTGCTATTGATTAATAAAAAAAAATTAAACCAATTTGATCTTCAAATTTAACAAGTTTTTTCACAAGTATTTGAGTATATTTTTTTTTATAATTTCAGTCTTCTTGATGAAGGTATTCTGATGTATCCGGATATTTTTAAAGATAATTACATTATTCCATGAACTTCGGCAGAACTTCTCTGAACTTCGGAAGGACTTCGCTGAACTCCAGCAGGAATTCCCTGAACTTTGACAGGCCTTCTCTGAAAAACGGCAGGACTTCCCTGAGGTTCGGCAGGCCTTCCCTGAACTTCGGCATGAGTTCCCTGAACTTTATCAGGACTTCCCTGATTTCGAAGAATTGAAATGAAAGTACTTTCCTGAACTTCAGTAGCCCTTCCCTGAACCTCGGCACTTCTCTGAACTTCAGCAGGAGTTCCCTGAACATTGACAAGACTTCCCTGAACGTCGGTAGAACTTCTCTGAGCTTCGGCAGGAGATTTCTTTTATATGGCTTTCTCAATCTAGGGTAATCCAAACAGTCAGTTTTGCATTTCTCTGTTTGCATTACCCTAGACTGAGAAAGCCATATAAAAGAAATCTCCATACGTACCAGTCGAAAAATCTTATAAATCACTTCGGCAGAACTTCCCTGAACTTCAGCAGGACTTCCCTGAACTTCGGCAAGACTTCCCTGAACTTCGGTAGGACTTTCGGCAGGACTTCCCCGAACTTCAGCAGGACTTCCCTCAACTTCAGCAAGACTTCCCTGAACTTCGGAAGGACTTTCCTAAACTTCGACAAAACTTCTCTGAATTTCCGCCGAACTTCCCTGAACTTCAGCAGGACTTCCCTGAACTTCAGCAAGACTTCCCTGAACTTCGGTAGGACTTTCGGCAGGGCTTCCCTGAACTTCATCAGGACTTCGCTGAAGTTCGGCAGGCCTTCCCTGAACTACGGCAAGACTTCCCTGAGCATTAGTGGGACTTTCCTAAACTTGGAATCTTTGAATTGAAGAGGCCATTTCAGTAGTAGAATTATAATAATTATACAAGAATATTGTGTTTACGAATACGGTCAAAATTTCGATACTTCTCATTTTCCTAATTTGCAATGCTTGTTGGTATTGGTGCATTTTGAATTTGGGTGTGGTTCGAACGGGTGTGGATTAGCAATGGGCGATCTAGGATCGAAACACAAAAGATCGATTCTTTTGGTTCGATTAATCGATTTTTTGAATCGATCTCAAACACGACAAAAATCGACTGGATCGATCCTTTTCATTCGATTTTTGTATCGACCAAAAAAAATTCAGTGCATTTGCATTTGCAATTCAATATTGATTTTTTTGTCTTCACCTTTGCACATCACTTGCCTTGAACATAAATTCTGCAAACAACCAGTGTGACAGTTCAGTAGACAAGAACGAGAATCGTCATAGGGGCATATCGGCAGAATAACAAAATTTTCTTGCATCAGCCTGTTTTCCCAAGTTCTGTCGATCCTTTTCAAGCATGGGAGAAAATCTATTATAAATATCCCCATGTATACCCCATTGCTCGAGACTATTTATCAAGTGTTCCGTCAGAGAGGCTATTGTCTTAAACTGGTGAAACCACACAAAATCTATATCGACTCAAATCGGTGAATCGATTATTTTCAAAAAAAATGAATCGATTCGCTTAGATCGATTATTGCCTCAAGATTGCCCAATACTAGTGTGGATTCAGTATCAACGGAAAAGCATTTGCTTTCCCCTTAATAGATTTCAACCGGTGTTATTCAATAATTTCACCTTTTTTATACTGGTATTTTTTTCTATGTCCCGGGTTTGGCTGGCTAAGTGGCTTTTACACAAATAGACATTTCAGTGCCAACATTTCAAAGGGGCGTAATTGCATTTGTTAACAATGGCTTTAGCCGTCAATTTCTCGCGAATAAAAGCTCACTCATGAAAAATAATGACACCAGCAGGTAGAGGAATGTTTCTTCTACCAGCTAGCATTGTAATTTTGGAGAGGTAAGATTTTATTCGCGAGAAATTGACGGTTAAAGTCATTGTTTACAAAAGCAATTACGCCCCTTTGAAATGTTGGCACTGATTTCTCGTTTACTCAGATTTTGACAACCTAATGCATCAGACGAAATTGAGTACGATCGACTCACCTGGTGAGTAAGCTGGAGTAAGCGTGTACTGATCATCCATCAATGAGATGAA